GGTCAGTGGTGGAAAAAAGAATGAAAGATCGAGCTCCAAAGAATAAAAACGAGCTCAAAAAATTGGTTTTAGATGTTTGGCCATCAATTAATCAAGAAATTACGTCTAAACTCGTCTCATCAATGAAAAATCGTTGTAGAGCAGTTATTGAAGCTGATGGTGGTCCAACAAGATATTAATTTAATTTTAACTAATTTTAATTTAAAAATTAACATAGTGTACGGACAATTTTTTTGTTTAAACTTTTAATTCTTTTCAAATAAACTTATATAACTTTTCATATATTAATATATTTGTAACTAATACACTTAAAATTACTTTAGTAATTTTAAGTGTAAAACGAGGATATAGTTTAACAATGACTGGAGCAATAAATGCTGGAGGTGGCTATATGCCTAAATTGTTAATTTTCCCTTATAAGAACTTTAAGTTTAAAGGGGTTCCAGAAGGTACATTTGGTGGAACAAACGCATCAGGATGGTCAAGTGAAAAATTGTTTCTAGGATTTATGAAACATTTTGTAAAGCATACTCGTTCAAATAAGGAAAATCCATCTATTCTTTTACTTGACAACCATAAGAGTCATAAATCAATACCAAAAATCCAGTTGGCAAAATATAATAAGATTACAATGGAAACACTTCATCCACACATTATTCAAAAAATGTAACCCTTAGACAGAGGCGCATTTGGTCTATTTAAGGCTTTTTACAACAATAAAATGAAGGATTGGATGTTGAAACCAGTCAATACTGGGAAACCAGCAACAATCTATGATGTTTCAGAAATTGGACAAGAAGTTGGACAAGATTTGCCAAGTAACATTACATGCAGTTTTCTAGTCAGCAGCCATCATCCACTGAATAAAAACAGTTTCAAAGATAATGAGTTCTTATTATCCACTATAATAGATCGACCGCAGCCTGTATCTGAAGACAAGCCTGGAAGCCAAAGTAACCATACTGAAGACTTTTTGAGCAGACCTGGGCCCTTAACTGATACTGAGGTAACAAACTGCAGTCCTGATTATTTTGAAAACTAGATAAGTGCTAACATTGTGTCTCCTGATATTATTTTACATTACGCAAAAGCTTAAAGGAATCCCCAAGTGTCAACAAAAGTTGTGTTCATATCATAGATTAACATTAGAAAATAAATTAAAAGTTAACTAAACTTTCTAAAACAAATCATTAAATGATATATTAACAAAAGCATTTGTTGTTTTGCCATTATACTTCCGGTTGAGAGCCTAATTTTAGACTCTCATATCTGCATAGTTTTTTTTCAAATATAAGCGCATTAATTAGACCCGATATAAAAAATAAAAATAGTCAGTGCCGGAACTTTCCTTCGCCAGAAACAAAATGGTGTTAAAAATTAAAAAGTTTTTTGTTAATGAGTGATTCAATAATTTGCTTTGGAAAGTTTAATTAACTTTTTCTTATGTTTATTATGATATGAACACAAATTGTCTCGGAACTTGGGGATCCCTTTAACCAATCCCTTTAACGCTATCTATTATCTACGCTAACGCTATCTTTAACCAATCCCTTTAACGCTAATCCCTTTAACGCTAAACCTATCATTCACCAATATTCGTGGTCTTTGAAGTAACTTTTCTTCTGTTGAGTCTTATCTCTTGCAAAGTTAACCAGACCTGCTTGTTCTTTGTGAGACTAATTTGAGTTCAGCTGTCTCATCTTGTGATCTTAGTGTTGATGGTTATCTTCCTTTAATTCGTAAAGACTCCAATAGTCACATGCTTGGCCTGGGCATTTACATTCGTAAGAATTCACCCATTTGTCGGGAAACTAGGTTTGAATCCACAGACTACTCTTTTATGTGGTTTTGTTTAGCACCACTTCACTCTATCACCTTTCTCTTTGTTCTATATCGCTCTCCCTCATCCCAAGACTGCACTCTTCTTGATGTTATTTCTGATTATACTGACCAAGCCCTCATTCTTTATCCATCAGCCAATATTGTTGTTGTCGGTGACTTTAATGTTCATCACACTGAATGGCTTGGCTCTAGTGTCAGTGACTCTGCAGGCATTAAGGCCCACAATTTTTGTCTTTCTCAATCCCTAACTCAAATAGTCAACTTTCCAACTCGCTTTCCAGACAACCCGAATCATTTATATTCTCTACTCGACTTATGTCTTGTTTCTGATCCTAGTCAATGTTCAGTTTCTTCACACTCACCCTTAGGTGCGTCTGATCATAATTTGGTCTCTCTAAAACTATTATCTCATTCTTCTTTACCATTAGAATCCCCCTATCATCGTACATCTTACAACTACCTTAAAGCTGACTGGGACTCTTTTCGTGATTTTCTTTGTGATGGCCCCTGGGTAGAAATCTTTCGTCTCCCTGTTGACAAATGTGCTTCTTACATAACTTCATGGATTCAGGCTGGCATGGAATCCTTTATTCCCTCTCAACGATTCCAGGTCAAGCCTCACTCTTCTCCATGGTTTTCCTCACATTGTGCTGCTGCAATTGCCAATCGAAACCATTACTTCCATATCTATCAGCGAAACAATTCTCCAGAAAACAGACGTCTCTTTATTACTGCTAGGAACCATTGTAAAAAGGTTTTGTCTAACGCCAAAACCCGCTATTCTCAGATCATGAAATCTTGTATTTCATCACAAAAATTAGGTTCTCGTGACTTCTGGAGAATCTTTAATAGTATCAATAATAAGGGCAAGTCTGTAAATCCACCTCTTTTGTACGGTTCAGACTTTGTCACCTCACCTAAAGACAAAGCTGAACTGTTTGCCAAGAACTTTTCATCAATATCATTTCTTGATGCCACTAGTTGCGTTTTACCTGATATACTTGTCAAACAGGTTGATCCATTGCTCGACATTCGTATCACTCCAACTTCTGTATCTAAAGTGATTTCCCGCTTAGACTCTTCTACAGCTTGCGGCCCAGACAACATACCTGTTATAGTCTTGCAGAAGTGTTCTCCTGAGCTGTCGTCTATCTTTTCAAAACTATTCAACAAGTGCTTATCAGAGTCTTGTTTTCCAGCCTGCTGGAAAGCAGCATCTGTTATCCCTATTTTTAAAAATTCTGGAGAGCGATCTGACTCATCTACCTACCGTCCCATTAGTCTTCTTCCTATCATAAGCAAGGTTTTTGAATCTTTAATTAACAAACACTTAATCTCTCATCTCGAATCTCATAACCTACTTTATGATCATCAGTATGGATTTCGATCTTCTCGTTCTACGGCTGATTTGCTATCAGTAATGACCGATAGGTTTTATCGCGCATTAGATAAAGGTGGAGAGGTTAAGGCCATTGCTCTTGACATTTCTAAAGCGTTTGATAAAGTTTGGCATGCTGGTCTCCTCCATAAGCTTTCTTCTTATGATGTATCTGGAAACATCTTTAAGATTATTAAATCCTTCCTTTCCAATCATAGTATAAAAGTTGTCCTTGATGGACAGCACTCTTCTTCTTATTCTGTAACCTCAGGGGTTCCCCAAGGTTCAATCCTTGGCCCTATACTCTTTTTAATTTACATTAACGATCTTCCAGATATTCTCACATCTAAGGTGGCATTGTTCGCTGATGATACTACCATTTATTCTTGTCACGATAAGAAGCCAACTCCCTCTGATTGCTTGCAGGGGGCATCTGAGCTCGAAAAGGATCTTACTTCTGCTACAGCATGGGGCTCGCAGTGGCTGGTGAACTTTAATAATGCCCTTTCTCTTTTAGACAAGGTGCAAAAACGCATTGTAAACATAGTTGGACCTGCCAGGGGCTATTCTAGACCGTTTTCGACAGCGCCGACCGTATTTGGGCGCCGATTTGGGCGCCGCCCAAATTCAGGTAATTGAAGACCTTTTTTTTAAATTTATTTAACATATATGTAAATATTTATAAATATGATAGAGAAATATATATATATATATATATATATATATATATATATATATATATATATATATATATATATATATATATATATTTGGCATTAATTTTGAATAGATCCGTTGTCTTGCAGCCGTTATATAAAAATAAATGAATATGAAAATAAGTTTCAATTTATGGTTTTTTATTTTGAAGAGACTTGGACAAAACTTTTTAATTTAGCGCGTATAATCACCGGACCACCAGTACCATTGTTTTTAAAGTTCGTACATTAGTAAACGCATTTAGGTTGATTAAAGTAGTAATGTTTTTTTATTTAGCTTATATTTATTTGTTTTAATTTTTGGCAAAAATATGGCAATTATTATTTTAAAGATTTTTTTTTATTAACTACATCAACAGCAGTTTCATACAATAATTATTTTATACATGGAAGTTATACATATAAGTTATGGACTCAATGAGATTAGTAAGTTTGTTGCAGTAAATATGTGGGTTTTTTCCCCATAAACATTTGCAATCTAGTAAATTTAAGGTAATTTGGCTATTTGTTAATTTATTTTTATTTCAGTGAAACTTCTGTGCAATATTTATTTTTAGGTAGCAACTTTTCTTATAAAATTTATGTAACAGATCATTTTAACACGAATGAATTATAGTGAATTATTTCAAATACATTTAAACATAATAATAAAGCTAAAAACTAACTAAATTTTTGTTTATCTAAAAACAAAAATTTTGAAATTTTCTAAACATGTTTTGGCCCCCCCCATTACTTAAATTTTAAGAGGGGGAGTGAGGCAGAGGGGTACCGCCGCCCAAATTATTTTCCTAGAATAGCCCCTGCCTGCTCTTGCAGCCAACCTTCAACCTCTGTCACATCGTCGTAATGTCGCTTCTCTTTCTCTTTTCTACAAATACTATAATGGGCACTGCTCGAAAGAGCTAGCGTCTCTTGTGCCATCTACTAAACTTCATTCTCGTGTTACTTGTCATTCAATTAAGTCTCATCCTTTTTCTGTTACTGTTCCTAAGTGCTCCAAAAACTCTTATTCATCTAGTTTTTTTCCTCAAACATTTTGCACTAAAACAAGATACAAGGAGGCAAATAAGTAGCTAAGACTTAACAGTCAGAATTTTTGCAGAAATGGAGATAAAAGTATCACTATCTAGTATTAGTGATTTAGCAGCTTTGACATTTTAGATGATGATGTGCTTAAGGTTCTGGAGGCTGAAAACACCGCCTTCAGCGATGCAGAAACCTAAAGCTATCTAAAGGTAACATATTTTTCTTACTTTGTGATTTAATTGTCTGGAATAGAGGAAAAAAAAAGATAGCTAAGAAACTTATACTTCTCAGGTTTCTGGTAATGAGAAACTTGTATTAAAAATTAAAAATATTTTCAAAGCAAGCACAATTGAACAAGAGCTAATAAACTAATAGAAGCTGTTAAAGCTAACAAAAATTGAAATAATATCGATATAATACTCTTGAATTTTGAAAAAGCTTTTGATTTGATTTCATTATAAAAATTATGTTGAAAGCTATGGTTTCATTATTAAAATTATGTTGAAAGTTTTGGCTTCATTATAAAAATTATGTTTTTATAATAAAGCTAAAGCACTTTATCAGCATAGTCTTATTAGTTCTTAAATTGTTTATCAAATAAATTTTAACAATTTTTTTTCAACAACTTGCAAAGTTCAAAATTAAAACAAGAAAATTTAAATTAAAGGAAAACTTTTTACCTTTTAAAAAAAAATTACTTACATTGAATTAGCTAAATCATCAACCATTACTTCCCATTTTCCTTTGTGGACTACACTTAGAGGAAAAATGGCAAGTGAAGATAATAAACACGAAAACAAAAGCGTTTGAATGAAGTTTCTAGATATAAATAAAGATTTTTTTCATCTCTTAGTTATACTCACATGATTTGTTCATCCTGAAAATAAAAATCATATTTATATTTAATCAAGTACAAGAATTTAAGTATAAATAGTACTTACTCAAAAAGTGGTGCACCAAGAAAAAAAGAAATACAATGAAAAGAAAATGTTCCAATTACAAAGATAAACAAAGAGTATGCAACCAATTGAATCTGCAGTAAAAAAAAATTCAACATCATTCTAAATAAAATTATTTAAAAAACAAACCAAAAACACATAACATTTTATTTAAAATACCTCATTTATTTTTCCTTGTACCTGGCGAGTATTGAACTTAGATAAATACCTTAATATAAGATAACTACCCAATAGCATCAAAGAAGTAAAATATTTTAAAAAAGTACCAATGTAAACTGGAAGCAAAGGAGAAATACCAAATGCAAAAAAAATAATCAGTAAAACCAGCTCATATAAGAACAATGAAAATGAATACTTCAAAGAAGAATTTTCAAACATTTTTCTAAAATAATCAATTAAAATACGAAACAATAGAAAATAAATTAATTCTATACATTGTTTATAAGAGTCATTCTTTATAATAATAAGTTGGATCTTATGAAATAATTATAAACATATATATTATCATAAACACATAATAAAAATACATAAGTAACTTTAAAAAAAAACAATTTCTAAACTAGCAACTTCAAAAAAAAAATTTCATATAAAAAGATTATTAAAAAGACTTTTTTTTATTCAGAAAAAAATGTCTTAAAACAAAAATTACCATTTGAATTGCATATAACTGATAGTTATATAAAAAAAAGAATTTAAAAATTTATTTTTTGAGTTGTTTTTCAAAAAAATTTAAACAATATACATATTTATAACTTTGCATAAAATCATTTTCCTGCATTAATAATGTCAATAAATTCTGGTTTAAGAGAAGCTCCACCAACTAAAAAACCATCAACATCTTCCTTCAAGGCTAACTCAGCACAATTTGTGCCAGTAACTGACCCTCCATATAAGATTCTTGTAGCTTGAGCAACATCTTCGCTAACATTTAAAGCCAACCATTTTCTTACATCAAGATGAACTTCTTGTGCCTGACTTGGAGTAGCTACTTTTCCTGTGCCTATTGCCCATACAGGTTCATATGCAATTACAATCCGAGACCAATCACTTACATTGGAGGCTATTGCTTTCATTTGGGTAGCACATACTTCTAGTGTTTTTCCTGCCTCTCTCTCATCAAGAAGTTCACCAATGCAAGCAATGATGTTTAAGTTGGTAGATTTTAAAACATGTTTTATTTTCTCCCCAATAACAGAATTTGTTTCTCCAAAAACATTTCTGCGCTCTGAATGACCTAAGATAACCCACTTACAGCCAACATCTTGACCCATTTCAGCAGAGATTTCACCAGTAAATGCCCCTGATGTTGCTTCATGACAGTTTTGCAGAGAAACACTAACTTCAGGCTTGATATGATCTTTTACATAGGATACATAAATTGAAGGCGGGGCAACAACAACTTCAGTTTTAGAACTTAGATTACTTGAATTAAGAAGTTCCAAAATGCTTAAAATTTTTGCTTTATCACCATTCATTTTCCAATTTCCACCAACAAAAAATTTGCGACAAGACATTTTTATTCAATGAACTTTTATTTTACAACTATTTTAGAGTAAATTCTAAAAAATTCAATATAAAATCGATATAGCATTATATTAGCATGACAATAGTTTAAATTTTTTTTTTTTTTTTTTTTGAATGTTGTTTATCAATAGTTCAAAATTTTATGTTGTTTTTGCTATTATATTTTCAGTATATTTTAAAGCTCTAAATAATGACTACATACATAAGCAAACAATTTTAAATAATTTTAAAATAAATCCATTAAACTATGAAAAATAAAAATTATTGTTGCAAAACTTGTTTTAGTAAAACAATTTGATTCTATTAACATTAAATTAAAATAATAATTAGTCAATATAAGAAAGTCAAAGTTTTAAAATATATGCAAAAAAAATCATTAAAATTCGATTTAAAAATATACTACACAAAAAATATATACTATACAAAAATTGTTTTTAACAACTTTAAATAATAAATTTGATTTGGTAAGATTTAATATTTTATATATGTAGGTACGTGAGCATACAACATTTAAGATTTGTAAGTTCTACGACTGTTTTTGGAGTAGTTGTTGCTAAAAAATATCGTACTTGCAAATATTTAACGATTTTAGTATTTTGTCGAACTATAAAACTGCGGGGAAAAACGTATGTAAAAAAGTATGACCCATTATAACAGCCCTACCTGACACTAAAATTTTTTATGTATTTCGTCCTTTGAAATAAGCTTTACAATGTTTTTCAACATAACAATAAAAAGTTTTGAAAACTTCCGGCTGGAGCTGGCAGAAAACATGGTCTTATCATCTAGCCCCTTCTTAGAAATTTAGATATAATCTTGTATATAATAAATTATATTTATAATAATATAGTTATTTAATATCTTATATTTATAATATACAATATCTTATATAAAAGAGGCTGTTATTAAAAAACTATAAAAAAAACTAAAAAAAAGAAAAAATTATTGCGTCAATATAGACGCAATAATTTTTTTTTTTCTATATCAATGTCTTCGAAGTAAATATTCTTAACATACTACTTTTTATATTTTAGTTAAAGAATCTATTTCTACCAAACACTTTCCAATATCAATTTATTTCTATAAATCACAAATACCAAACTAAGTACTCAATTAACAACTTTTTCAGTATGGATATTATATTAACTAAGATTAAATAAAGGCTTTAAAAGTAAGCTAGTAATTGTTTATAATCAAAATTGAATGTGTTGTTTTGTTGCATGTTGAAAATGTAGAGTGGAAGTTATAGTCTTTATATTCCTTGTTAAAATCGTGGAACTCGATTCTAACAAGGAATATAAAGACTATAACTTCCACTCAACATTTTAATTGTGGCCTTCGCACTCCAAGTTCTTTTAGTAGAGGTTTGGCACTCGTGTACCTGTTTGCGTTTAATATTAAACGACATGCATGTTTTTGTTTTTTGTAAATTCCATTTAACTTTGTTGAATAAGTACTCGCCCAGATTATGTTACAGTAACTGTGAATAAAAGAGAAATAAATATTTTTTAAACAAGTTCTATTAAGAAGATGCTTTGATTTATACATAATTCCAATGATTTTAGATATTTCCTTTTTTACTTTTTTGATATGATTACTCCAGCTAACACTTTCATTAAGAATTATACCTAAAAAGTTGATTGAGTTTTTAAAGTTTAGTTTTGTCGGTAAGCAGTTCAGGAAGTTTATGGGGAAGGTATCTGAACCAGAAGATTTTGTAAAAAGAATATATTTGCTTTTTTCTACATTTAGCGAGAGTTTGTTGGTCTTAAACTATTTGTTTAGATTTTCTAGTTCTTGATTAACCGTTTTAAACATTAAGCTAATGTTTTTGTGTCTTAAAATACTTGTGTATCGTCAGCACGGAGAACAAAGTTGAGTTTATTGGAAGATGAGAAGATATCATTAATATAAACAAGGAATAGCAATGGCCCAATAATAGATCCTTGCAGGACCCCACAAGTAATACTTTTAGGTTGTGTAACAGTATTGTCAGACGATAATGCTTGTTTTTGATTATTAAGGTAAGAGCGAAACAATTTTAAGTTGTTGTTTTTTATTCCATAATTATCTAGTTTATAAAAAAGAATCTCATGGTCAGCAGTGCCAAATGCTTTTGAAAGATCAAGGAATACCCCTGTGTGTATTTATTTAACCCACTAATCTCAAAATAGAACTTTTATATCGAGATCAATGTTTCATATGGCGCAGTTTAAATTTTACTTATAGGAAAAATAATAAAAATGGGAGCGACATAAATAACAACGAAGCTTTGTAAAGTTTATTTTTAAACTTAAATAGTTTCGTTTATATTTAGTGTCAAATCTATTTTTCTTCCAAAAAGTGGTTTAAATTTAAGGTTGTATCATCTCAAAAAGTTTTGATTTAAAAAAACCTATTTTTAAATGTATATAGCTTTGTATATTTTAAATGTCAAACTTATCAAAAGTGTTTCTTTACGTTTCAAGTTATACCATATGAAAAATAATAGTTCTTTAAATAAGGTGCAATTACTTTTGAGAGGCGATTACTTTTAAGAGGGGTTTTACTTTTGTCCACTAAAAATAATTAAAAAAAAAGGTCCTCGTTTTGTAAAGTTTGCCTACAGCCTAGTCAACATTTGCCAACTGACTGTATAAATTTACCGACTAAATTGTCTAAAGGGTCTAAATTTGCCAACTGACTTGTTGAAAAGGGTCAAATTTGCTGACTAAATGAATAAAAAATCGTTTATGGGGTGTGTCACACACCTCACACACCCACTCGCGCCGACCTTGGGCTTAAGAATACTGGGCAGTCAGTATTATGAACATTGAAAGAGTTGCGTTAAAGAATTTAGAAGTTTTCATTATATCCAATTTTAGTTTAACAATTGAGAGACAAAATAAAACGAATTTTTACGTTTGATTGCAGTCTTAACCTGTCAGATATACTTTTAAGTGCTAAAAAACTAAAAAATATTCAGAAAATATATATATCTGTCACTGATGAGAATAAAAATATTCAGTGTAATCAAGCTTTGAAAATTGCTAACTTTTAAAATAACTTAAAGATAACAATGTCGCATATGTTTGCATATGCTGTAATGATTAAAATATTATGTGTTACTGATATAAAACAAGATGCTGTTGTTTAAAAGTATAACTCCTAAACGAGGATTGTGGTTGAGGAATAGGCTCTAGCAGATTATAGCTCTTTTTATTATTTTTTGTATACTAGTTCTTTTATCATATGTACGTTATATTTTACGTTTATATATTCTTGCCTATTATTCCAATGATTAGTGCATATTCGGATCCAAGATCCTAAACCAAATACCCGGGTACCCGTACCATTTTTTTGAGACTTGGATCCGGATTTGTTTGGTTCGGATATTCGGTTCCCGGTCTACTTGATATAATATTACTTTTTATAATGTTGATGTCAGGTACCGTTATAACCTATACATAACTTTAAACAGTTGCACATCAAGCGTTATAATATTTTAAAGCATTTTTGAAAAACAGTTTTAAGTTTTTAAGTTTCTAAGAATTTGAGAGCAATGGTACTATTTGGGAGTATTTCTGTAAGTAAACGAAACTGCATAAGTGTTATGTGAAAGCATCTAAACATTAAGCTTAAAATAGAATTGCCATTACATCCTACAAATACAGTTCAAAATTCATTCCAAAAAGATATCAGAAGCTGAGTACAAGCAAAAGATACTATTAACAATATACTAACAGATGGACTTTTATTTGACACTGTTGCTAAAAATAAAAGTTTGAAAGAAAAAAAATTAAAATTTGCTTTAAACAAAGGAAAAAAAATTCCTTCTAGTGCAATTTCCATTGGAAATATTTTACTTTATTATGCTAAAGACATTAAGACTCGAATTAAAGGTTGAATTAAAAACATGAAAGCTAACAATTTTAAATTTAGCTTAACTGTTGAATATACATTAATTAAAATGCGTCGTTATATAAATATTAATGTCCACACAAATGAACGCCTTTATAATCTTGGACTTGTCCGTTTCGTCGGGAGTATGCCATCTGAAAAAGCTGTTGTGATAGTAAGTGAAAAGTTGAGTGAACTCAAACTGGACGTAAATATTGTTAGTACATCTACAGATGGTGCATCTGTTATGATTAAATTTGGTCGTTTAATCAACTCACTACATGACATTTGCTATTCCCATGCGATCAATTTAGCAGTAAGAAATGTATTTTATGTGAACTCAACTGAAGTTTTAGACCGAAACGACAGTTTTGAAACTAATGATAGTGAGGATGACAGTGAAGATTACAGTGAAAAGCTAAATCAAGGTATCAAGCTGGGCTACATTGAATTTGAAAATCATTCAGCCTAAACTGTTGAGTTTTTAAATTGAAAAATAACAGCTTCTAGGCTGTTATTTTTCAATTTAAAAAAAAGCACAACAATTAAATTATTTTAAAAAATCAGCAGTTTAAAATAAAGTTTTTAAATAAGAAACCTGAAAAACCAGAATTTAAACATGAACATTTGAATATGAAGTTTACTAAATAAGGTAATATATAAATATTCCATTCGGCCATTTGTTTTTGAAAGTTACGTTCCAAATGTCTTTTAAACGTTTTTTAAACGTCTTTTAAACGTTCTTTACGTAATCATGTTTAGAAGACGTTTAAAAGACATTTAAAATAGATTTAGAACGTAACTTTTAAAAACAAATGCCATCTAGGTTATATCTGATCCACAACTTACGTGTTTATGAAAACAGTACTTTTTAAAATATTTTTTGATTATATATAAAAGTATCAAAACACGGTGAACACGAATCCTTATATGTTTTTTTTTTTTTTTTTGATTTATTTATTTGAGTTTTCATGCTATATTTTTCTATACGATGTTCTTATATCCGAAGAAATTGTTGGCTTAGCATAAGAACAGCCACAAATAGTCATTAAGACTAATCCAAAGTAGCGTCCGTTATTGACCAACATTTTTGCGTACCGAAGTACTACTCAAGCGCTGAGTTGGCGGTGGCGGGATTTGAACTCGTATCGTTCAACAGTCCGGGTTTTAACGTTT